AGTCACAAACGATATATGATACTCGTATGTTCCTACTTCAACTCTCGAGAATCTGAAACAAACGAAACTCGTGTCCAATATACAGGGTGTCCGGTAACTAACAGACCAATGATTACAAATGGATTCTTTGGTCAATTTGGGAACGATTTTTCCTCAGCGAAAATGTCGAAAAAGGTCATCATTTTTTACAACTTTCCAATCTTTGTCATTATGTATCTTTATAACTAAGCCTTAAATTAAAATTTTATTATAGTAAACTCTACCTGAAATTAACTGAAGAATGTAATTATGTTAGACTTTTAACTCCAAAACGTTTAGTTTTCAAAAAACCTATTTTTTTCAATCGCTTATAACTCGAAAATTATTGACTTCTCAACATTTTTGCTAAGGAAAAATCGTCTCCAAATTGGCCAGAGAATCCGCCCTTAATCATTGGTCCGTTAGTTACCGGACACCTTGTATATATTATATAAAAGTGTATAGCACGTCAGAAGCTTGTGAGCTTACAGCGATAAGTAAAAACAATTGCGTATTTATTTCATTGCGTTTATCTGTTTAAACGCGCGCTTTAATTTTTCCAACGTTTTTGCCTGTTTATATTTTAAAGGTCCTCTCTTCTAAAAATCTTGTTTTAAAGATCCTCTCCGCGAGCAAAATTCGAAAACATAAATTATTTAATATTTTTACTTTATTATTTGTAAATCCTCGGTAATTTCAAAATTTTTCTATTTGAAAATTATTAATTTTCTATTGCCAATTAATTTTATCACAGACTTTACTCTTACTCCCATTGCACTTTCGTTTGCGGTTTTCAGTATACGATTTTTTATCGTAGTTACTGAAAATTATTATTGTGAATTATACTTGTGCAGTGATTTGAAGAATTTACAATTTCGTTGAAATTGTTGATTTTTCAAAAAAATTACGAGATTCGCGGAAATTGCGTGCTTTCTTGGCATTTTCCGTTCGCGGCAGGCGGTTTATTTTTGATTGTTGCAAGTGTTTTTTTTTTTTTTATTAAAATAGATAATAATAATGTGAAATAAATCACGATATTTGACAGATGTGCATATATATAGAAATTGTAATAATAATAATATTATATCATAAAATTGTAAATTGTTTCAATTTTTTATAGACTGCGATAAAAGATTTTACATTTGGATAAGAAACTGCGGTAAGTAAAAATATAAAATTCTTGAAAACGTACCAAAAATATTTGATAACGTAAAAAGGTGAACTTTGAAAAATAAGGAACTTAAAAATTGCACTAATAAATGGGCTATATGTGAGCCGTGCGCGGATGTAAGGTGTGTTATATCGAAATTTAATTAATAGAATTGAGAATTAATCCCAATTTTAAGTCTTACAAATGTCCAAGCTAATTTTTTGTACCTCGTGTACATTTTTGAAAGTTATATCGAAAAATTAAATTTCAATATGCGTCTTACATCTCACATTTCGCATACGGCTCACATATAGCCTATTTATCTCTTATACTTTATTTCAACCCTTATAGAAATTTATTACTAGTAACGCCAATTTATCACTTATTTCGAGTAATTAATCACTTTTATTTCGAATACTTAAATTACTGTATATTATAGTATTTTAAATACTCAAAATAAGTGATTAATTGGCGTAGTGATAAATTTCTACAAGAGAATAAGGAGCCTTTAAATTCTTAATGTAAAAAATTTCAAGTAATTTTCTTTAATAAAATTTAATTAAAAAATTTAATTAAAAAATTTTTGAACACTGTGTTATATCACATTTAAAATCGTGATTATTTCAATAAAAAAACATTTTATGTGTAAAAAATATATTTTTTATATTTAATAAATTTTATATATATATATGCATATATGTAAAATATTCTCTCTCTCTCTCTCTCTCTCTCTCTCTCTCACACACACACACACACACACACACACAACGGGGGCCAAATCTCTCAAATTGGTCTCATGATCAATTAGCCTGGATTCGCACCAGGGGCAAAGTCTGTTGGTAATGTCAAACGAATTTAGCCTGGACTTGCACCAGGGGCAAAGTCTTTTGGTCGAGTCTACGAAATTTAGCACGGACTCGAACCAGGGGCAAAGTCTTTTGGTTCAAGTCTACGAAATTTAGCACGGACTCGAACCAGGGGCAAAGTGTGTCGGTAAGGGGCAAAGTCTATCGCACGAAGATGGCGGTCTCTTCTTTAGGCAGGCCTTTGGCGATCTGTCTATTAATCTGTGCTTTGGCGATCTGTCTATTAATCTGTGATAGTGTTGACTCGGAAACGCGCAGCAGCGCAGTTCTTCTCCGCGAGCGTGAGACCAGTTTCAGCACCACTATTCGGACTATGAGTGAACTAAAAATCAGTCACGTGATCAAAGCTGCGGCTCCGTGAAACTGCGCGTGTCGCCGCTCGGGTGCTGAGTAAATCTTTTAATTTTAAATATATTTTGAATTTATGCACGAATTTTGTCATTGCATGATGTATATAATTTAATATAAGAACTAATTATATGATTAAATATATGTGCGTGTATATATGTGTGCACATAATAAATACATTGGATGCATGCATGCATGCATGCGCGCGCGCGTGCGGATGTACAATTTTTTTTGTACATTTTTTATTTATTTAATTTTATTTTTTTTTTATTCTTGAGATTCATACTTTTGTTTTATAATTCTTATTTGTTCTCTTATTTATATGTTATTGCTTATTTACAAATTCATTTTAGGGCCAGTTTCATCAACGGCGGTTAACTATATATATAACTCCAATCTCCGATTACAACTATATATATATTTTTATTTCTTTTTAGATATATTCTTAGAGATAAAGATATTTAATCGGAGATTGCAGTTGACTTTAATGAAATTGACCCTTAATTATTATTGATGATGTTTTGAAAATACAAATGCATTATTTTAATTGAGTGTGAGTTGCGAAAGTTTCATATATATATTATAAAAATAGTGGAATTTTTTTCAATTTATCTATGATATGTCCAGAATCATTCCTTATTTGTAATTAATTTAGATATGCACTACTTCTGCGTGATCTACCATAATTAACCGAGGCAATTTCACATAATTGCTTTTTTTATTGCACGAGAAGAGATTACTCTTCTTTGATTGGAGAGCATATATATATATACCCATACAGCACAGATTATTGCAATTATATTGCAGCAACGTTGCAATGTTGCAAGTTGCAATGCAACATTATAAAGACATTGCAGAGATATAAGTGCACAAAATTCCAGCACACTTGTAGCAACATGACATTAATATTTCGGAAATATTGCATGTAATCCAAATTCTATAATTTATATATTGTAATATATATAAATTAACTACAACGTATTTTCATTAATGATTTATTTACATTTATATACCTGTATATGCAACATTAGTTTATGGTTGCAATAACAATGCATTATTGCAAACTCATAACATATTGCAATATTGTTGTAATATTTTGTTACAATATTCCAAAAAGCGGACATTTTAACATTGCTGCAATTCAACAGCAATGATGTAGCAACATTTTGCAGTGAATTTGCAATATTGCAATATTGCGGTGAAAGATTGTTGTAATGTTTTTGCAATCTATCGGTGCTGTATGGGTATATATATATATATATATATATATAGTATATTATTTCTCAATTCTATCTATCTATATTGACGGGAAAAAAATGGGTTAATTACTATACTATATATGCGCGTCGCATTTTAACCCATACAGCACCGATAGATTGCAAAAACATTACAACAATCTTTCACCGCAATATTGCAATATTGCAAATTCACTGCAAAATGTTGCTACATCATTGCTGTTGAATTGCAGCAATGTTAAAATGTCCGCTTTTTGGAAGATTGCAACAAAATATTACAAACAATATTGCAATATATGTTATGAGTTTGCAATAATGCATTGTTATTGCAACCATAAACTAATGTTGCATATGCAGGTATATAATGTAAATAAATCATTAATGAAAATACTTTGTAGTTAATTTATATATATTACAATATATAAATTATAGAATTTGGATTACATGCAATATTTCCGAAATATTAATGTCATGTTGCTACAAGTGTGCTGGAATTTTGTGCACTTATATCTCTGCAATGTCTTTATAATGTTGCATTGCAACTTGCAACATTGCAACGTTGCTGCAATATAATTGCAATAATCTGTGCTGTATGGGCCCATACAGCACCGATAGATTGCAAAAACATTACAACAATCTTTCACCGCAATATTGCAATATTGCAAATTCACTGCAAAATGTTGCTACATCATTGCTGTTGAATTGCAGCAATGTTAAAATGTCCGCTTTTTGGAAGATTGCAACAAAATATTACAACAATATTGCAATGTTATGAATTTGCAATAATGCATTGTTATTGCAACCATAAACTAATGTTGCATATACAGGTATATAAATGTAAATAAATCATTAATGAAAATACGTTGTAATTAATTTATATATATTACAATATATAAATTATAGAATTTGGATTACATGCAATATTTCCGAAATATTAATGTCATGTTGCTACAAGTGTGCTGGAATTTTGTGCACCTATATCTCTGCAATGTCTTTATAATGTTGCATTGCAACTTGCAACATTGCAACGTTGCTGCAATATAATTGCAATAATCTGTGCTGTATGGGTAGTGTGTTTTATATTCGCGTACATTTTTATTTATATTTTAATCCTTATACTATTATTTAATTGTAGCAATTATTATTTTATATACTCTTACATACTGATTTTTTAATCCTCAGAGAAGATAAAAATAAATTCTTTCTCGCTCTCCTCTTCCTCGCACCCTCTTCTATCTTTTTTTCCTTTTATTATCTTTCTCTCTCGATTTATCATCTTTTCTCCCTCTTATCACCCCTTCTTTCTTCCTCTTTTTTCCTATTTCTCTCTCTCTCTCTCTCTCTTTCTTTCTATAGCGCAGCATCCAATATCGAATGCGCAGACTCTACGTCCGCAACATCTCTCGGAAGGGATTAGCTTTCGCTCAGTATTGAAAATTCGTACGGCACAAGTGATTCGTAGCTGTCAAACTACGTGATCTCACTGTAGATTCGGAGTAGTGAATGAGTGTGTGAATTATAATTTGCAGAAATTACTAACAAACAGCGAATGGGATAAACGTAAAGGGCCGCGTCGTTTCGCTGCTCAGGTCCAGAGAAAGTCGCGGAGTGTTCGATTCGCACCACCGATGGCAGATCACGATAACATTTACGACGACGAGGTAATTAATTAAGCCTTAAGTCATAATTACCATCATACGTCACACATATATCCGTGCAATGTTTTTAATTTGCTAATTTTAAATACCTTTTAATAATAAATAAAGTAAATACATTTATTTGTGATTTCTCAATTTTTGCATACGATTATGAGAAGCAGATTTTCTTGCAAAAAATGTGGACATAAAAAACGATTATATTTCATTTATAAATTTTTCTTGTTTTTTGTAAGTTAATATTATTCCAACTAACTCTCGTGGATGCTAGTTAAAAATGGCAAGTGCGGTTTAGCAGCAACAAGTATTATCAATACACGCGAGATGATGAGATAAATAGATGATTTAATTTCCACAAATAGATAGTGCACAAAGTACATTTTTCTTTTAAATAATAGATATTAATTTATGCAGCAGCAGTTATTATATGGGGTATATATGCTATCGTTATATTATAATACCGTGAAATCATTATACATTATTTGCAAAAATATTATGCTATTTTTTTAATTCATGTACAACACACTAAATAACTTAAAAAATTACTTAATTAAAACGCTTAATATCACATCAGATGAGTAACTTTGAGATTATATTTTACAGTAAATATTATTTTACATTAAGAATTATATAGAGAAATATTGATTATGATTAATATAAATGAATGCGGTACCGTGTGATATAATTTTAGATTACTGTTTAATAATTATTTGACGGTCTTATATACGGTGTATTACTGAAAAGATGATTTTGATAAATTCTTATAATATATAATTTGTCAAATTTTCTACAAGATAAAAATTAGACTCGTCAGAATTTTAAATTTATTATTAAAATAAATCGATTTCCTTAAAAGCACGACATTGATACGCGTTCGTTTCTTAAACTCGTTGACGCACAGCGCAGTACATCGCTTCTCTCTATCGATTTTAGCTACAGCAGCTGACTAGATTTTAGCTTTCGCTGTGAACACAAAACTCTTGTAATTGACTCTTATCTACACGTGATCAGCGTCATCAAGTCAGCGATTTTCAACAATATTCTCAAGTATTTGACCTAAAAGGATGATATAAATGTATTTATAGAGACGTTTTTATACCGCGATTTTGTTCTCATTGGAACTATTCCTTTATAAATTATTCTGTCGATGATCTAATACTCATATTCTAATCCATTTTGTTACCTGCTTTTGTTTACGAGCCAACACAAACACGTTAAAGATGTCGTAAAAGACATGTGAATCTTCTAATAATATTCCATCATGTTAATGTTCATATCGTTTAAGTTGTGTATTATTTTTATATTTTTTGTGCCGGGTGTATAAAAAGTTTTGACATTATTAAATTCTGTAAAATATGATATTATATTCTAAATTAAATTGTAGATTCTAAAAACCCCAAAGTATAAGGCTTTAATACATGCATATTGATTATCCAATGACAGAGAAAATGGGCTATCAAGAATCAGACCCGGTTAGCACACAAATTCTTTTCTTTTTTTAGTGAAAATTTATTGATTATTTCTATAAATGTATATTTTTCAATCTCTGTATTGGACCATGCATCAGCAAGTAAATCAAAGGTTAAAGGCTGCATATGATCTTCAAAAATTTAAATCGATCTTTACGACTGAGTGCGACAAGTCTTCTTCCGGTTATAGCTGTTGAGAAAATAATTATTTGGCTAAGGTTGTTCCGAAATTATTGTATCCGAATAGACCCATCATCCAAGCACAACTAATTCTAGTTGTATTCCGATCTTTGTGACGCTATTTTTGAAGGTCGTATATATACATATATCTTTGAGCTTGATTTACTTGCTGTTGATAGTCGAAGGGACCAAAACGTACATTTATAGAATTAATCAATAAATTCTTGATTAGAAAAAACTGCACTTTGCTAACTGCGATTGGCTCTAATAATCTATTTTCTTGTTAGTTGGATATTAAATTGTAGAATTATAAAATTATAGCATTCCTTGTATTATGAGGAAAATATTTCACACTTTAATTAATCCTTATTAATTATATTATTAATATTATTAATTAATTATATTATTTTGACATTATATCGGATGAAAATTTGCATTTATATATGTTGATGTATTATTTTTTATACATTTTTATATATTTTTGCAACTATAAAAAGGAATTTAAGTGCATGTTTACACAGCACACATTAATTTAATAGTTTGACATTAACGTTAATAAGAATTTTTGTGGTAGGAGCTAGTTTCAGCCAATCCAATCAAAGGAATTGGCGTGGGGATTTTAATCGCGTTGCTCGTGATCGTCGCGGTCCTAGCCCTTATTGTTACATCTGTCGCTTTGCTTACACCTCCCGATGACGGCCCCAGAGTACGAGGATCGCGATTACGACTCTCCGAGGTGAGTAAAGCGTACAATTTGTATCAATATTTAATTAAAATTAATCTCTGGGAAAATGTGAGAAAATACAGAGCTAAAGAATTTTCTGTAATACAAAGAATAAAATAATACTTCATTTGTGTCTATATTAATTAAGTGTTTGAAATACACATATATATGTACATAATCATAAAATGACGAAAATATCTCTTTCCGCACCAATCAGCACATTCTTAAATAAAAATAGAATAAACTAGATTGATTCGGAGATACGTCTTGTAGGTGCTTTCCGGAGAATATCTCCTTATTATTTAATGGATCCTGGGCGAGTGATTGTCATATATGCTACCGAGATACTTGGGGTGGTATTTCATTGTTGGATGCTTCGGATGCAAACATTGTGTTGCATAGTTTAATGCCGAATGAAACATTTGTGAGTATTTACCTAAGAATGCCATCAAATTTCAATTTAATTGTCAGGAGATAAACATTTAAAAAACTTTACAGAGACGACTGAATCCAGTAAAATTTTCCTTATCACCGGATCATCGATATTTACTTCTTGCTCAAATGTGAAGAAATTGTTTCGTTATTCGTATCTAGCTCAGTACGTCATTTATGACGTCAAGTCACGGTCAGTGTAATTTATATACACACGGATAAACGTTTGATTATTTATAGTATCGTTTAATGTTTCATTAATGTATAACAATGATAATTTTCCTTTAATGTGTATTATTAATTAAATTAAGTCTTTTTAAATCACATGACATTTAAAAATTTCTATAAATGGCTTTACAGAGAGTGCACTGTGTTAACTCCTCATCCTGAAAAAGATGTTCACCCGTATCTTCTGCTAGCGCAATGGACTCCGAGTGGACACGGACTCGTCATGGTACAGGACTACGATATTTATTATATGACAGCTCCTATGAGCGACACTGGGTATCGCGTAACAAATACCGCGGTACCTGGTATATTGTCCAATGGCGTACCAGATTGGCTATATGAAGGTAAGACACGCTGTAGTTTTCTGTGTAGTTTTATATATAAGCAATTTAGAGACAATGGATCAAGAAGATATAATAAAGGGAAGGGAAAGCAGAAAATTAAATAAAACTTTGAGAGTATAATTTTGTGAAAATGAAAATACATATATATGATCTTATATAATAATTAAAAGATAATATAATGATCTATTTACTTTAATGCTATTTATAGAAGAGATATTGCATAGTGGAGAAGCAATCTGGATGTCACCGGATGGTCATATGATGCTTTACGCCTCGTTTAATGATTCTCTCGTAGAAGAGATGCACATTTCATGGTTTGGAGAGGGAAATAAGGCTCTATATCCTGATATACGATCATTAAGGTATCCTAAGGTACGCGTAAAATTAAAGATACATTATTATATTTTAATCAAATTTTTTATATTATTTTTATTAATAAGATCAAGAAAGAGCGCTATATCTTAATATTATTTTATTTTAGCCAGGAACGCCAAATCCTTTGGTACGACTGTATGTTGCCGATTTAGCTGATCCGAAAAATATTCGTACGAAGGTAGTGAAACCACCGTCTATCATCGAGCACATGTAAGTTTATTTATCTGTATAAATTTTAACATATATAAGATAGGCAATAAGAGCCAAATCGCGGATGACAGTGCGTTATTCTAAACGAAACTAAATTTTTTCGTTAGAATTAAATACCTGTGCACAAGGCACCAAATTTTTACTTGGACACGGCCAAGATATAAAATTGGAATAATCTCTACAAGAGATTTTAATTCCATGTATCCCCTATTCCCCCTAAAGAAATAAAGTGCGAGAGAAAAATATAGATCCGAAAGTCGCAGAATCGGGAATCGAACCCGAGACCTTTCGCTTGCCGGGCGACTGCTCTTCCAACTGAGCTATTCAGATCCTTTCGATTCTATACTTTTCTCTGTTATATATATTAATGTTGGTAAATAAACGCCTTAAGCCAGCGTGTATAAATTAAGAGTTTAACTAGGCTCTGTAATATATAAATATAAATTTAACATATATAAGATAGGCAATAAGAGCCAAATCGCGGATGACAGTGCGTTATTCTAAACGAAACTAAATTTTTTCGTTAGAATTAAATACCTGTGCACAAGGCACCAAATTTTTACTTGGACACGGCCAAGATATAAAATTGGAATAATCTCTACAAGAGATTTTTAATTCCATGTATCCCCTATTCCCCCTAAAGAAATAAAGTGCGAGAGAAAAATATAGATCCGAAAGTCGCAGAATCGGGAATCGAACCCGAGACCTTTCGCTTGCCGGGCGACTGCTCTTCCAACTGAGCTATTCAGATCCTTTCGATTCTATACTTTTCTCTGTTATATATATTAATGTTGGTAAATAAACGCCTTTAAGCCAGCGTGTATAAATTAAGAGTTTAACTAGGCTCTGTAATATATAAATATAAATTTAACATATATAAGATAGGCAATAAGAGCCAAATCGCGGATGACAGTGCGTTATTCTAAACGAAACTAAATTTTTTCGTTAGAATTAAATACCTGAAAAGAAATACCTAAATACAGAGAAAAGTATAGAATCGAAAGGATCTGAATAGCTCAGTTGGAAGAGCAGTCGCCCGGCAAGCGAAAGGTCTCGGGTTCGATTCCCGATTCTGCGACTTTCGGATCTATATTTTTCTCTCGCACTTTATTTCTTTAGGGGAATAGGGGATACATGGAATTAAAAATCTCTTGTAGAGATTATTCCAATTTTATATCTTGGCCGTGTCCAAGTAAAAATTTGGTGCCTTGTGCACAGGTATTTAATTCTAACGAAAAAATTTAGTTTCGTTTAGAATAACGCACTGTCATCCGCGATTTGGCTCTTATTGCCTATCTTATATATGTTAAATTTATATTTATATATTACAGAGCCTAGTTAAACTCTTAATTTATACACGCTGGCTTAAAGGCGTTTATTTACCAACATTAATATATATAACAGAGAAAAGTATAGAATCGAAAGGATCTGAATAGCTCAGTTGGAAGAGCAGTCGCCCGGCAAGCGAAAGGTCTCGGGTTCGATTCCCGATTCTGCGACTTTCGGATCTATATTTTTCTCTCGCACTTTATTTCTTTAGGGGGAATAGGGGATACATGGAATTAAAAATCTCTTGTAGAGATTATTCCAATTTTATATCTTGGCCGTGTCCAAGTAAAAATTTGGTGCCTTGTGCACAGGTATTTAATTCTAACGAAAAAATTTAGTTTCGTTTAGAATAACGCACTGTCATCCGCGATTTGGCTCTTATTGCCTATCTTATATATGTTAAATTTATATTTATATATTACAGAGCCTAGTTAAACTCTTAATTTATACACGCTGGCTTAAAGGCGTTTATTTACCAACATAATATATATAACAGAGAAAAGTATAGAATCGAAAGGATCTGAATAGCTCAGTTGGAAGAGCAGTCGCCCGGCAAGCGAAAGGTCTCGGGTTCGATTCCCGATTCTGCGACTTTCGGATCTATATTTTTCTCTCGCACTTTATTTCTTTAGGGGAATAGGGGATACATGGAATTAAAAATCTCTTGTAGAGATTATTCCAATTTTATATCTTGGCCGTGTCCAAGTAAAAATTTGGTGCCTTGTGCACAGGTATTTAATTCTAACGAAAAAATTTAGTTTCGTTTAGAATAACGCACTGTCATCCGCGATTTGGCTCTTATTGCCTATCTTATATATGTTAAATTTATATTTATATATTACAGAGCCTAGTTAAACTCTTAATTTATTTATCTGTCTTACAAAGAGAAAGGGGAAAGCTCAATCAAACGGAGAGGGAATCTTTCATTATCTTTTTTCTCCTTTTTTAAAATATAGAAACAAATAAAGGAATATGCCCTCCCGAAAAAGCATTTTTTATATAAGAATATTATGTGATCAAAAAGTTATTTTAGATTGGATGAGCAATTGTTTGCAATATATAGATAGATAAAATATAATATAAGATAAAAGATAAATAAAATAACAAAATTAGATGCAAAAATAAAATTGAAAAAACTATAAAAATAAAAGGCCAAACATATAATATATAAAGCGCCTGGTTGTACACTTTTCTTCTGCTAAAATTATTGCAAATAAGCAAATAATTAAAAAAATGTTTAGCTATTAAATCAAACAAGTCAATTTAGATGTCAAACAAATTCTAAAATAAATTAATTAAAAATTTTTTATTGCTGCACATTATTGTCACATAATATTTTTGATATAAAATATAAGAGTTTTAACAAGGCTCTGTAATATAAATATAAATTTAACGTATAAGACGGGCAACAAGAGCCAAATCGCGGATGACAATGCGTTATCCTAACGAAACTAAATAATTTTTCGTTAGAATTAAAATACCGGTGCACAAGGCACCAAATTTTAACTTGGACACGGCCAAGATTTTAAATATGAAATAATCTCATATTTTGAGATTTAATTTCAATACCCCTTTAACCCCCCTACGGAAAATAAATAAATGAATGCAAGAGAAAAATATAGATCCGAAAATCGCTGAATCGGGAATCGAACCCGAGACCTTTCGCTTGCCGGGCGACTGCTCTTCCAGCTGAGCTATTCAGATCCTTTCGATTCTATACTTTTCTCTGTTATATATATTAATGTTGGTAAACAAACGCATTTTTTAAGCCAGCGTGTATCAAATATAAGAGTTTTAACAAGGCTCTGTAATATAAATATAAATTTAACGTATAAGACGGGCAACAAGAGCAAATCGCGGATGACAATGCGTTATCCTAACGAAACTAAATAATTTTTCGTTAGAATTAAAATAATTTTGATATAATTTTTGCAAATCTTTATCACCTCAAGATTATATAAAATAAGAAATAATTTATCATTCACCGGTATGATGAACAGCGGAGTTGTAGTATACAAGTTGAGCTGTAGTATAAGAAAAAAATACATATAAATTATATGTAAAATATTATTTACAAATAATTAACATTTCAAAAAAATACTTGCAATTATAAATTTTAATTTATTTTTTCAGCTTCCTTAATATTTATAAAAGTTATATAATTTCCAGAAAAAATTTTTACATAAATTTTATCTAAATTATTCAAATAATTAACAAATTTTAATGTTATATCGTTTATATAATATATACATATAAAATATTAATTTAACGTATAAGACGGGCAACAAGAGCCAAATCGCGGATGACAATGCGTTATCCTAACGAAACTAAATAATTTTTCGTTAGAATTAAATACCGGTGCACAAGGCACCAAATTTTTACTTGGACACGGCCAAGATTTTAAATATGAAATAATCTCATATTTTGAGATTTAATTTCAATACCCCTTTAACCCCCCTACGGAAAATAAATAAATGAATGCAAGAGAAAAATATAGATCCGAAAATCGCTGAATCGGGAATCGAACCCGAGACCTTTCGCTTGCCGGGCGACTGCTCTTCCAGCTGAGCTATTCAGATCCTTTCGATTCTATACTTTTCTCTGTTATATATATTAATGTTGGTAAACAAACGCATTTTTTAAGCCAGCGTGTATCAAATATAAGAGTTTTAACAAGGCTCTGTAATATAAATATAAATTTAACGTATAAGACGGGCAACAAGAGCCAAATCGCGGATGACAATGCGTTATCCTAACGAAACTAAATAATTTTTCGTTAGAATTAAATACCGGTGCACAAGGCACCAAATTTTTACTTGGACACGGCCAAGATTTTAAATATGAAATAATCTCATATTTTGAGATTTAATTTCAATACCCCTTTAACCCCCCTACGGAAAATAAATAAATGAATGCAAGAGAAAAATATAGATCCGAAAATCGCTGAATCGGGAATCGAACCCGAGACCTTTCGCTTGCCGGGCGACTGCTCTTCCAGCTGAGCTATTCAGATCCTTTCGATTCTATACTTTTCTCTGTTATATATATTAATGTTGGTAAACAAACGCATTTTTTAAGCCAGCGTGTATCAAATATAAGAGTTTTAACAAGGCTCTGTAATATAAATATAAATTTAACGTATAAGACGGGCAACAAGAGCCAAATCGCGGATGACAATGCGTTATCCTAACGAAACTAAATAATTTTTCGTTAGAATTAAATACCGGTGCACAAGGCACCAAATTTTACTTGGACACGGCCAAGATTTTAAATATGAAATAATCTCATATTTTGAGATTTAATTTCAATACCCCTTTAAACCCCCCTACGGAAAATAAATAAATGAATGCAAGAGAAAAATATAGATCCGAAAATCGCTGAATCGGGAATCGATTATATTTGATACACGCTGGCTTAAAAATGCGTTTGTTTACCAACATTAATATATATAACAGAGAAAAGTATAGAATCGAAAGGATCTGAATAGCTCAGCTGGAAGAGCAGTCGCCCGGCAAGCGAAAGGTCTCGGTTCGATTCCCGATTCAGCGATTTTCGGATCTATATTTTTCTCTTGCATTCATTTATTTATTTTCCGTAGGGGGGTTAAAGGGGTATTGAAATTAAATCTCAAATATGAGATTATTTCATATTTAAAATCTTGGCCGTGTCCAAGTAAAAATTTGGTGCCTTGTGCACCGGTATTTAATTCTAACGAAAAATTATTTAGTTTCGTTAGGATAACGCATTGTCATCCGCGATTTGGCTCTTGTTGCCCGTCTTATACGTTAAATTTATATTTATATTACAGAGCCTTGTTAAAACTCTTATATATAAAATATTAATTATTATAAATACTATCACACACACATCAATTGTATTAAATATTGAACTAAAATTTAGAATATTTTATGTATTACACACAATGTGTATATAAAATTAAATCATTATTGTCGAGATAAACGAGAAATTAACTCACAACAAATAATAAATTAAATAAGCTATATATTACCTCACGATTGCTCCGCTGACACTCGATGCCTTTAGGACTTCCTCTTTCTTTCTTGTTCATCTTTCCCTTCGTGATACTATAACAGTCATTTCGCGAAAATACAATCACGACACTTTCTATAACATTTCAAACATTATTGTGTCACATACTTTATTATATTGCGACAGGAAAATAATGTGAAAATTACACATAATGCGAAATTATAATCCACTCTCGAAAATTACGCAGTAGAAAATTATTTTATTAAAGTATACCATTTGCCGCGGATGCCATTATTGCTCTCTATTTTTAACAAATAATCTATATTTTAGAATAATTTTATTATTATAATGCAAACCCGCGATACTTTGTTAATAATTGAACAATTCGAGATTAATATATTAGTAACTTCTTTTCGAAACAATATGATATTACGCAAACCAAATAATTAATTAAGACACGATGTATCATCCGAAATTATAGAAAAAAATATAAATTTATTATTACACTGATGATACATTTCGAACATGAATTTTGCAAAATAAATATATTAAGAAATTATATTATATAAAAACGATCTACTCAAATCCTTTTCCCAAAAGAAATATTAAAGAAGCAATTGTTCTATTACAGTTGTACTCTAAACATCGAAGTAAAACAATAATTTATAACTATAATTTTTTAGTAATACACTTCATGATTTATTGTTGCATTTAATATTTCAAAAGATATTATCACACGATATTTCTAAGATATTATATATTTATTATATTACACAGAGCGTCTCGCACTATCATTACCTTTTCGTTCGAGTGTCGTCGCACGAATGATAAGACAACTACGTCTGTAGTTAGCAGAACTCAACCAAAAGCCGCAAAAGTGGGATTGTTGTAATGAGATACATTCGATATTTACTTTATACATATACGCGATCGTATTTCGAAAGCTACTACAATATTAATAAGATATTACTGCACGTCACGTGCTACTACCTTCTCGTTCGAGTGTCATCGCACAAATGACAAGATGACTATGTCTTACATGTAAATATTAGAGCGCTATATACCATAAAGGTATGATTGTAAGAAATGAAACACGTTTGGTATTTCCATTATAATCGTCTTTTAAAAAAAAATACGATAATATTATTAAGATATTACCATAAAGTAGAATGTGTGCCATTAATTTCTCGCTCAAATATCATCGAATAAGATAACTGCGCCTTGAAAAGATTTCTGAAATTGCGATTAAATAATGTAATATTTCTAAAATCAATATTTAATATTAATTTTAGAAATTGTTAATAATAAATTTAAATTTTTAAATAAATAATTGTTTTAATAACGAGAGAGTGTGTACAAATATCAGAGAAGTTATTTTATATATACTCGAATACTTATTGGTAATAATAATAAATAAAAAAACATAAACTATAATATAATTTTATTCTCTTATATAAGTAATATAGATATTAATTCGTAGTAGAAAAATTAATTATTTTACCTGTGATTAAAAATTATAAAACTCTCGCATACATTTTATTGTCTCATTTAATGTTCTCTTATAACTAAAAAAATTTATTTGCATTTTGTTATTAATACTCGTATCTGTTATTTCTTAAATTTCCCAAATTTCTAAATGCACTATCTTTCTTGGATTTTCTCTAGGGATCATTACTTTTCAACAGCTTCTTGGGTATCTCAAACAGAAGTCTGCATAACATGGTTGACGCGCGCCCAGAATCTTTCATTGGTGACAATCTGTAAAAGTCCAATGTGGCACTGTCAGGTTCGTAAGTACCATCTTCTTTTGCATATACAGGATACATTTATATAATACATAATATCCATATGTTTTTGCAATTTATTTTATAAAATACGATACTTCTGTAAGCTTGCTTCTAACAAACATTGTTATATAAGATAAAATTCTTTTATTTTTTAATAAATCTGCGTTTTGATATAAAAAGACACAAATATTTGTTCAAATAGATTAAAATGTTAAGATATATAAATAAATATATAAGATATATAAATAAATCATTTCAGGAATACAAAGGATAACGAGCGAGGATCGCGGATGGGTGGACACTCCTCCGGAGGTCCCTGTTTTTTCAGCAAATGCTAGCAGTTATGTCGCGATAAGTCCTGTAAAAGACGGACCGGCGGGATATTACAAGCATATAATCTGGGCTAATGTGCTCCGAAAACAAATAGTGCCTTTGACTCATGGGAAATTTGAAGTTGTGAAGATTTTAGTATGGGACCAAGTGAACAATACTATGTAAGCTAACAATTCGTTAATCAGTTAACTAATTATTTTTGCATTATTAAAAATGTAATTAATACGATTAATATAAAAACAATTTGCGCTTTTTTTCATCAGATATTTCATCGGTATTCCATCCATGAGACCGGGCCAGAGACATCTCTATCGTGTGAGCTCCACTCTTCCTCAAGAAGGAACGCCTTTACCTCCTGCTATATGCCTCACGTGTACCGTCTCATCCGATGTGATGAACAATGATGAAAGCGAACATCGGACTAGTTCTTCGAATGCTCATCAGAATGGTCAGGCCAATTCAAATGAATGGCATCAGGATCATTATGAGAGTCAAACGGACAATAAGGAAAATCGCCAAGCAAAAGATACTTCCAAAAAAAACAAGTCAAAAAACAAGAATACTTCAAGTGAGTTCTAAGATTATTCTCTTATTAATAAAATATAGATATCGCAAATGTTTTGATTCAAGGCTTGATACAAAATTTCCTTATGGCAATTGCATGAATTTTTAAGTTTATTTACGACGATGTTTTATATCATTATTAGCATTTATTAGCAGACAGTTATATTTTTTTTTAAATATGTGATATTTTCAATGCTGCTACTATTAACATTTGGCTCTGTTATGCTTATGTTAATTCTGTACATATTGCATGTTAATTTTTATAATTAATTTTATATTGTAACTTTTCTTTAATATCATGAAAATTTATATGCCATGCAAATTTTATCGACAATGAAATTATAAATGTTGTTTATATTTATTTTATTCATATGCTCTCGTACACTCCATATTTGATTTTCATAGTCCTCCAAGTATTTTCTTTTTACTATTAATTAAACTCAATTAACACATTGCACATTCAAAGTAGCAAATATATTTTTTTATTCATTTACATAAAACTATACTTATTCACTATAATGATTTTGACTATACTTATTCACTATGCGGTAACACATTTATTTCGCACGCAATCTAGAAACGTAGCCTCTATTTTCTTGAAATATGAATTACAAAATTCCATCTTTCTCTTACTTTATCTTATTTCTCTTTTCGATATTTTTCCTAATTAAAAGATTTCGTAGAAGTTTTTTGATTGGCTCGTTATATTATATATTTTATATATATATTAAATTTTTAACAACCAGATTATATGACATTCTTTCTTCCTCAAATATGGAAGACACAAAGCTATTTTTAACAGGGTAAGGCAGCGTTTATAGTATTAACGCTAAAAATACAATTAGATTAAAAATCTATATAAAGGTTTTCTGCCAGGAGGTATATTTCAATGAAAATTACTTGAAAACTAAAATTTACTCTGTATTTTTCAACCATTATATATATTCCAAACATATCATATATATATATTCCTACTATATAATAGTACTGTTCTCGACATTAGTACTTACACACGGATATACTTACATACAGTTTTTTAATGTTTCTTTTTACCTTTTTATACGAATACCAACTATTGTTTTTTAAACATTTAATAATGTGTATAAATTTATACATGCTAAACGCGCGTTAGCCAAAGTCTTATAGTTTGTTCGCACCATCGTGTACAATGTCAATAATGTTGTATCGTTTATGTGCTTCAGATGTGTTTAGCTCAGAACTCTTAAAGGATCTTATCGCGCGATTTTTTGCGTAAAAAAAGATGATCTATTTTTCTCAATGTTTATTATTATCATCAAAATATATACTAGATATCGCGTATGTATGATTAAAAAATTCAATACGGCATATTTTTTATTGCATTGGAGATTTAACATAAATTAAGTATAATATTTTAAATATAAATTTAACATATATAAGATAGGCAATAAGAGCCAAATCGCGGATGACAGTGCGTTATTCTAAACGAAACTAATTTTTTTCGTTAGATTAATACCTGCCACAAGGCACCAAATTTTTACTTGGCGTGTCCAAGTAAAAATTTGGGCCTGGTGCACAGGTATTTAATTCTAACGAAAAAAATTTAGTTTTCGTTTAGATAACGCATGTCATCCGCGATCGATTTGGCTCTTATTGCCTATCTTATATATGTTAAATTTATATTTATATATTACAGAGCCTAGTTAACTCTTAATAATATTTTTAATTCAATCACTTTTATTAAATATTTTATTGACTCGAATAATAATATCCAATTATAAATGTATTAATTTAAATTGATATATTAAAAATTAATCGTTCTGAACGGGAAAATTATTGCAAAAATAATTGAAATAATAAATTACATTAAATATTTTTGTCTCAAAATTTAATTCCTCTAAAAGTTTACTCGTCTATTAGCTGACTTATAACAGTGTTTAATTTTGATTTTTCTAGAGATATTATATTTCGAGATTTTTATGATTCGAATAACACTTAAGCAATGTCGAGCAAAATATAAAAATGTTAAAAATAAAAAAACATTTAAAATATATTTAATTATAAGATCATCTTAGAATCATATAAAAAACATAACGGGATAATAGAAACGTTATTTTGGGACAACTCCTTGTTGTGCGTGCGTAGGGTCCTGTTAAGAGGCTGTCTGGATTTTTTGGACCATTGTTGTCCTGCCATACAGTCACGTCCTTTCCTTATAGAGATTCTTAACAGCCGGCTTTATTGGTAATCCACGACAATAATACCGACCGCCTGGTGCCGATGGTGCGGCATTCTCGAATCTAAAGCCTACTTCTTCTTTTGTACCATTTTCTTGCCGTCTTAAGTGTGTGAGTGCTGACAGAGAGAGACGGACGTATCCACGAATAATCAATCAGGTAGAGACGGTACGCAACTAAACAATATCTGTTAGTTGACAATATATAGAATGATCCTCGGTAAGCTTCAAAGCAACTGTTGAATTTCTTGAACAATTTTGAATTTATTTTCTCTCAGCGAAAATATCAAAGACGTTATCATTATTTATCGCAACCTTTCGATTTTAACATTATATCCAAATAAAGTTCTATCGAAATTTGAATAAATATGATTTTATATTTCATCTCTTTGTGTTTCTCTAAAGCTTCAACAGTTTCTTCAGTTTCATTCGTATAATTAGAAAAGCTCTAAAACGTCTCGATATTTTTGCAAAAGAAAAGATCAATTCTAATTAATCAACCACTTCACAGTTCGAAGAAATTGGTTTTATTGAGGAATATCCTATATATTTCTCTGTATACAACAGCGTGTTGTATGTTGATATGTATGGATGTATAAAGCGCAGACGTATATTTGAATGTGGTGGAAAACGCTAAAATATATCTAGACTCTATATATGTAGATATTTAAAATGTATATACATTCCGCTGTATATTTTAAATGATCTAACAAAACGATATCAGCCTGGAATTGCGCGCGTAAATAGTCGTGTGTTACCGCTCGTCCGGTGCACGATCCTATTATTCGGCCTCGATACGTTTTGTACTTCTAGAGATCGGCGACACCTCCTGTCAGTATCACAACGCGATTTTCCCATCGGCGAGCCATGAGTATTTCGTTCTCGAGTGCCTTGGACCTGGTATACCCACGGTGGCTCTCTACAAAACGGAGTTGCCCAGGCCGCGACTTATCACAATATTGCAGAAACAATACCTTGTTACGCGTAAGTTAAGCTTTTAAACTATTATCTGCGAGTAGAGATCGATTTTTTCAAAGCTGCATCTATAATTAATTTTTCCACGGATGTGTGTTATTGTAGAAAAAGTGGCAAACATCGCACTTCCGCAGTAAAAGACATTTCCTGTGCATATTAGCGGCGGTTACAATGCCCAGGTGAGATTGCACCTACCACCTGGGCTTAGGAAGATGAAAATTACGCGCTTCCATTGGTTGTCCAAGT